TCCAATCACCCACCCCATTGTTTGGGAAAGTTCATCTATAATTTTACCACTGGTTGAAAATTCATCAATAGATGTCGAGGGAAGCAATCACCAGAGCAAGAACAGGAGCAGCAGCCATGGAGGATTCTTTCTTCTGCGATTTCCGATTCCATTCCAAGATTGACGCTTTCGATATTGCTAGCGAAGCATTTACTGAGCACTAGTCAGCCGTGAACCCCCACCAGCTCTCCTCCTTGTTATCTGGTAAGTAGCACAACCCAAATCATCCAAAACCCTAGTCATCCATCATCAACCCTAATTGCAAAAGTTCTTCTCTCGTTTCTTGAACTAATAACATCTTCCTCCTCCTAGCTTTTTTTTTTTTTAAACCACAAGAATGTGTCCGAGTATGTCCAAATCCAAAAAACAAGAGAACAAGGGTGGTGTTTTAGAGATTTCGCCAGATGGCCGTTTTATTAAGTACGATGAAGTTCTTGGTAGAGGAGCATTCAAGACGGTATTCAAGGGTTTTGATCAAGAAAACGGGACGGAGGTAGCTTGGTACCAAATTAACCTGGAAGCCGGCAGGGCAGCAGCCTCCTTGGATGATTTACCCAAACTTGCCAAAAGTTTGTTGACTGAGGCTGCTTTGATGAAATCACTCAAGCATAACAACATAATCAGATGCCAACACTCGTGGGTTGATGAAGATAACATGAATGTAAACATGATCACTGAGTTGTTTAGTTCGGGAACTTTAAGGGAGTTTAGTAAGAATCACAAGTCCGTCAATATCAAGGCCATCAAGAACTGGGCTAAGCAGATTTTGGAGGGGCTGAACTATTTGCATACCCGTAATCCACCCATTGCTCGTTGAGATTTAAAGTGCGATAACATCTTTGTCAATGCGAATCAGGGGGAGGTCAAGATTGGTAATCTAGGATTGGCCACGGTGTTGAAGAATTCAGGTGTCGCAACAAGTGTTGTTGGGACACCTAAATTCATGGCTCCTGAAGTGTATGACGAGAAGTATGATGAACTCGTCGACATATATACCTTTAGGATGTGCATGCTGGAGTTGATCATTTGTGATTACCCTTACAGTGAATGCACAAATGTCGCTCAGATTTACAAGAAGGTCACGAAAGGGGTGAAGCCACTTGCCTTGGGAAATGTCAAGGATCCTCAGGTTAAAGGATTTATTGAAAAGTGTTTACTTCCTGCAGCTCAGAGACCCAGTGCTGCACAGTTCTTGAAAGATCCATTCTTATCATCACCAGAGAGCTTGAAAGGGGATAAATGCGAATCGGGGGTTCGCCCATCCGGTGTTCTACCTGAATCCAACAATATTCCGCAGCCTGATTCCCAAGTCTCCACGAGTAATGATGGATCTAGTTATAATAAGGCTTCGACTTCAAGTAAGGCATCTGCAGAAAGCATCATCAGGCCAGGTCCGATCTCTATATTAGAATCTTTGAGGTCCACAGAACAGATACAGCTACGATTGAGAGGGAAGAGAATCGATCAGAAAACAGTTTTGTTTAACTTGCGAATTGCAGACTTGCATGGTCCTGTGGCAAACTGTTTTGAGTTTCTCTTTGATCTTAAATCTGATGATGCGCTTAAGATCGCTTCAGAGATGGTTCAAGGGAAAGACCTAACGTATGGAGATGTGCCAGTTGCGGTTGAGTTGATGGACAGCATGTTTTTGGAGCTCGAACCAACCTGGAAACCTTGCAATGCATATTACAGTGCAAATAATGTTGCATCTGAATGCAGGGAATTGGGTTCAAATTGGCAACTTGGTGCTGTGGTTCATTAGGGATTCAATCAATTGTAAATGAGAATTCAATCAATTGTAAATGGATAGACTCTCTCCAGGACAACAGTTTTTTGGTACACCTTTGTTATTGTATATTATCAATAAAAGTGGATTCTTTTTCCAAATATATATATATATGTTATAATTAAAAATTTACGAAATAAGTTTAGGAAGAAGGAGTCAAGGATTTAAGGAGTTCAAAAAATAAAATAAAAAATAAAACTTTGCCTAAAAGGAAGCAAGGAAGATCCAATGGATAAAAGGTAAAATCAAGATGTTTGACCAGAAATATAATGGCATGAAAGATGAGTATCATGATTTGTTCATTGAATGCATACCCTATGTATGCAATTAATAATTTTATAGATGACACACATTACATAGAAATCGAATCTGCTATTAAAAAAATTAATTTGTTAAATATGAATGGTTACTAACACAATTTAAATTTCCAAAAAACCAAAGAGATATTTTTTAAGGGAAAAATCCACTTTTCATCCTCAAACTTTGTCACAAAGACATATTTAGTCCCCAAACTTTTCGTCAGAACACATTGAATACATGAATTAACTATTTTTGCCACATTTAGTCAAAAAACGGGAAATTACTCAATTTGGACGGAGAAGACCCCGTGGCCGTTAACAAAAGTCCAAATATCTGTGAAAACCAACACAAAATAGACTAAAGTCCACATTTGTACTCTCTCTCTAACCCGCTGCTTTTCTTCTCTAAGTTTCCCCCTTTCCTACCGAGTTAATGGAGTGAAAAGTTGCTTTTATCAGAGTAGAGTTAATGGAGTGATCCAACAAAGCTTTTCCAATCTAGTAGAGTTAATGGAGTGATCCACCATATCAAGCAACAAAACTTCATCTTTAATTCGTACTTATCATAAAATGAGGTCACGAATCTCAGAATCGTCGATTTCATCTAATAGCAGTAGCCGTGTCTGTGGGTGTGGATTAAGACCCAAATTGGCAACTTCTTGGCAGGACGATAATCTTGGAAGAAGATTCTATGGTTGTCCAAGATGGCTACTAAGCGTAGTGTAATTTTTTGTAAGTAAAGTGTAGAAATGCCCTTACTGTAAGAATATGGTTGTATTTGCAGAGGCTGGATGGGTGCAAATATTTTGAATGGCTTGATGAACCAATCTGTGCAAGAGGAAGGAGCATAATATCAGGTTTGCTGAGAAGGATAAATAGGATGGAGGAAACAATTCAAAAAAGCCGAAGAAGGGAAAAATTTATGATTTGTATTATCTTGATGTTAGCTATGCTACTTATGATATCTGTTGTTGGGAAAAATAGGGGACATGCAAGAGAAGGAAAGTTGGTACTAAGCTTGGAATGAGTTACCGCAGAGGAGGGGGCTAATGACTATGGTTCGTTCCTTTCATGGGGGAGAATTTTGACTGAATTTGTAAACGTAGAAATAGCATTCTTTTGGATCTTGTAAATGATGGCAATGCTATTTGTAGTTGTAGGTCTGATTTAGAATATTTATGTTATGTACTACTACCCCTACTTCTAGTTTTGAATGGCTGTTGCATTGTATGTTGTCCAAAATTTGGTAATGAAATTGCTTTGTTTTAGCATATAGATAGTAAGGCAATTTGGACGAAATAAGAATAACATAAAAAAGATGACTAGCAGCATAGTGAGATAAACTGTTTGTACGTAACAACAACAAGCTAATCTGAAATTTATGTGATGTATTAACAAGCCAATATACATAGATTAGCAGCATTTCCATTAAGTAAGAACTTAAAATAATACCAAAATGGACAACTTGTTCAAGGACCATAAAGTTTCTCAAAGAGGTGATCAGCACCATAATGAAAGCATCTTGTTCAAAAAGACAAGTCTTGTTCAAAAGCATCAGCAAAAGACTAAGACTAAGACTATTACATAAAAAGCATCAGCAAAAGACTGCCATAATGTGCATATTTATAGCAATTTCTTTTTCCCTTCAGCCTAGATGAAGCAGCAACACTTTGTTTGGTAGCAGCCACGTCCATATGTCCAATCCTAATCTTGAGAGGCACCTTATCCTTGTTATTTCTTGGGTGTAATGGTTGGCTATACTTCACTTGAGACCTTTTTAGACCAAAAACTTCATAGAAATTAGGTGAAGATGGGACAGGCTCTTTGACACCAACATCAACAACTATTTTTGTTGGTCTAGCTGCATGCCCCTTTTTCTGCTTCTTTCTTTTCTGCAAAAGCACTAACATAAACTTACAGTAAGTTGAAAAAAGTTTGAAATTAAGAAAAGTGAGACAAATACAATACTTACAGGCACTAGAGCTGCCTTATCAACTGAATTCTTGTCAAAAATTTGAGGAGTACATGTAACTAGCTCTTCAGTTTCAACTTCAGCTTCAGTATCATTGCAGTCTACAGAGATGTCTTCAACATTTGCAGTGGTATTCTGAGGAACTTGGGAGGCTGCATGGACTGCTTCAGTAGATGCTACATGATGTTCATCCTTTCTAAGCTTGCAAGATCTCACATTGTGACCTCTTTGCATACAATATTTGTATCTTATCACCTGTCCAACTCTGCTCATTTTCTTTTTCTTTTTTTCCTTTGCTTGTTCTATCTCATCCGTACTCCTCCTCCTTTGTTTCTTTGGTCTTCCAGCTGGTTTACTCTACAGAGGTGATTTTGGACCTTTAAGATCAGTGTTCTCCCAATTTCTTTCCCGACTCATTGGACACACATACCCTTCATAGCATTTTAAGTATTTCTCCACTGTATACCAACTGGATACATACAACATTGGATCTTTTTTTGCTATCCATGGTGCAGAAATAGCATGGGGATAAGGAATTCCTGTCAGCTCCCATCTCCTACATGAACATGTATGTATGGTCTTTGATGTTTACTACATAATTATCACCATATGGACAAGAAACCTCATACAAGTCATCATTGGATTTGAAAGGAAAACATTGACTGGCCTTTTCCATCCTTTTTTCTATTCTCTCAACAATCCTAGGATAGTACATATAGTCTTTCCACCTCTGTTGAGCCAAGTCCCGAGTTTGCTGCATTCTTTGCATCATATACAATCTTAACAATTCCAGCATTTCAATGATTGGTTTCTCCCTAGCATCTAATATTTTGCTATTGAAACACTCACACACATTATTCAACAAGATATCACACTTTGGATAAGTACTAAAGTAGGCTCTGCTCTATTGAGATAGAGGTTTATCATCAAACCACTTGGTTGCATGTATGTCAATTGCTTCCATTTCTTCCATTCTGCTGGCAAATTCTGCTGCAGTAGTTGCCTTTGCAGCAGCCCATAAGGCTTTTCTCAGACCTTCTCCTTTGAATCCAGCAGATGAAAAGTTGCCATGCAGGTGTTTCACACAAAACCTATGAGCTACATTTGGAAAAACACTGTCACATGCCTGAATCAGCCCCTTTTGCTTGTCACTCATGATAGTCCACTCATAATCCCGTTCAATTTTCAAGTCTTCTTTGAGTAATTTGAAGAACCATGCCCAAGATTCCTTATTTTCTACCTTTGTTACAACATATGCAATTGGATAAATGCTATTATTAGCATCTAATCCAACAGCTATCAATAGAACTCCCCCAACTGACCCTTTCAAGAATGTACCATCTACTCTAATCAAAGGCCTACATCCAACTTAGAAATCTTGCTTCACTCCATAAAAACACATGTACAACCTTTGGAACCTTTGCTGCTGTGTTGGTGTACTTGTAGATCCATCCACAATTTTCGATATAATGGAGCTTCCAGGGTTGGATTTCTGAATTTCATGCATGTATGCTCCTAGCTTACTATATTGGTCAATTTCACTCCCATGAATAAACTTCATAGCCTTTCTTCTGACCCTATATGTTTGTTTTTTGGAGAAAGAGCACTTATTATCCTTCATTACAGTCTTTCTAAAGTACTCCATATCTACCTTAGGATTAGTCCTAAACTCCTCAATATACTTTCTGCTAACCCATCCAGAATTTACAAGTGGATTGTCATAGGTGAAACCACATTTGTGAGTGTCCTCAAATGTCTTGATTTGCACACTACCTTCCCCACCCAATTTTCCAGCATAAATAAGCCAGTCACACCCTTCACTTTTACACTTAGCGCTCAATCTTATTTTGTCCTGCTTCATAAATTTACGTGGTCTGCCCTGTCTTACACTATAATTTGTGATAGCCAACTTGCACTCCTTTATACTACTGAACAACATTTTTAACTCTAATTTTGGATTGTCAATATCTTTAGGGTTGAAGACTGTACATTCACTACTGGTTTTTCATTATCATGTTCATTCACAATTTCAAAATCAGATTCAGAAAATGGGGCAACATCATTGTCCTCTAGCATCACCAAATTGTCATCCCTCTCAATTTCAGTTGGCTTATTGTTCTGAAAATTCTTATGGTGCTTTACACCTAACCATTCAACATTTTTGTCTACATTGTCATGCAACTCATTATCATCACTATCAGTTATATTATAATCAGAGTCCACTGCTGAGAAGAAGGATTCACTCCCTGAATCAGAATCATTATTATTGTTCCCATTAGCCTCATTGTCATTCCCTCCCCCCCTCTATGGTCAGCATTAGGTGTATTAAAATTGTCATTACCATCAGCCCCTTCATTCTCACCAATCTGATACGGATCATAGCCTAACTGTTGAACAAAGATTTCATGGAATGAGACCTCAACATAGAAAATAATTTCCCTAGTTAAACCACCATGCCTCTTAATATATCCATGCAATTGTCTACTTGTTTCTATCCTCATAAAATTGTTGTTTTCCCAACCATAATACACTTTGTGTCCATACAAACCAGCATTTTCAGTCAATCTATCTACTTCAAAGACAATTAAACCTATGCTTTCAACATAGTCAATGACACATGCATCTCCACCCTCATAACGTGGATGAGGAGTGTAGGAAATTAACCCTCCATGGTGACACCTTAGAGTTATAAGTGTGCTGCCTTGTTCTGATAAAAAAATGCACATATCAATCATTCAATAATTAACAGGCATACATTAACATTAACAACAATGCACTCAATAATGCATAAATGTCATAATCACAAATAAGGACCACATCTTATGGACCCATCTTACTATCATAATCACAAATAAGGACCACATGCATATTATTCAAACATTGTCAGCTCCGACAATCAGATTAAAAATAATTAATCTTTTCAACCCAATACAACTCAAAGTAAACAAAATATACCCACAATGCAAACCTCAGGGACCACATCTAAATATTATACTCACAAAAGTTAAAAATTTTCACATTTAACTCTTTATCTAAATACCCTAGAAATTTTACTGTAATTTGGGGGTGCACGAACTTTGAGTTCTTTCTTCCGAACAAACATTTTCTCCTCGTTCGGTGGTCTTCAATCACCGAACTGGAAAGCTCCACTCTAAGGACGGAAATATTTCAACCAGTGGGAAAGGGGGAAACATGGAGAAGAAAAGCAATAGGTTAGAGAGAGAGAGTACAAATGTGGACTTTAGTCGATTTTGTGTTGGTTTTCACAGATATTTGGACTTTTGTTAACGGCCACATGGTATTCTCCGTCCAAATTGAGTAATTTCCCGTTTTTGACTAAACGTGGCAAAAAATCGTTAATTCAATACTCAATGTGTTCTGACAAAAAGTTTGGGGACTAAATGTGTCTTCGTGACAAAGTTTGAGGATGAAAAGTGGATTTTTTCCTTTTTTTAAATGTGCACCTTTTTTTATTATTAAGTGTTTATAATGTTATTGTTTGTATAATAGTTTTAAATGAAGTAAAAAAAAGTTATGTAACTTTTATTGGTGTTTTTCTCTAAATTCTATTACCAAATTTGTTTACAGCCACAGGAAAACTAAAAGTATGTGAAGCAGATCAATATATTATATAACTATATACAATATGACTTCTATAGCTAAAGTAGTTTGATTAAATCAATTTTGTTGAGTTTAGTATACTTATACAACTTGCAACCTTTTACAATTGTCCCAAGTCGAGCACTCAATAAAAACTTGAAATCAATAGCAACAGGTAATACAATAGAAGAGAGTATTTTCAAAGGATTTTTAACACCAAATTGATGGCCACTTAAAAGTTGTTAATCTGTTAACTTCCTCATTCATCAAAGCATTCATTCTACTCTTGTGCATCTTGTGGATGATTTGGAGGTTCCTCATGCATCTTCTAATTAGACCATTACACCCTTCATTTTTAAGATAAAAAAAAGTAAGTTAAAAACTTAGAATGATTAATACACAGGAGAGCCAATGAATGGTATATAATAAGAAACAACATTCAAACTGTGCATCCAATCGTAATTAAAAATACATTCAAAAATATAGTTTACAACTATATATTTTTTCATTGACAAATTTAGCACTAGAATTATTATCTTTTCCATTTGATAAAACATATAATTTATATAACTAATTCCTTTTGTTCAACCATATAGAAAATTTAAATAAAAATACGTTAGAATTGGAAAATCCACTAACTAAGCTTGAGAAGACAAAATTATGGATTGAACAGTTTAGGATACAAAAAGAAAGAATTAAAGCCTGTTTGGAGAGATAAAGAATAAAGCTAAAAAGGATAAAATGCAAACAATCATGTTGCTAGGTAAGAAGTGTAATAGCATCCGAGGTAAGTGTTAATGACTTGTTGGTCATTTAGTCACTTTAATTCTTTTATGGAACATATACTTGTAATGCAATATATTAGCAAATAATTTGTAATGTGAGACATCTCATAAATTCATTCTCATAAAACAAAGTTTCTATTGTTTGAAGCAATGTGAAACATACTCAAACAACAAATTTTTTATAGAAGCAATGTACGAGATTACTCTATCATGGATAAAATAATTAATTAATAGTATAACATCTGGAAAAATAGATTTATTTGTACACATCTAATTCAAATAACAAAAACAACTAGAATACTTGAAACTTAGTAATAGTTATCAATATACTTAATTGAAAATACAATACTGCAGTAGTACACAAACAAAAATAACCCAAAAAATATCTCATCCATGTAACATATCAAAACAACTCATAAATATACACAAAACATTAAAAAAAACTAAATTCTACAACATTTTCCACCTATATCACCACCACCCATCACCACTACCACCAACCCCCACCTGTGAGAACCCGTAATTTTCTTAATTGCTAGGTTTTATTTTCTTTTAATTGCACGCTTTTCCATATTTTATTTATTCGAAAAATTATGAAAATAATTTTTATGAGCAAATATAGTTTTTAGATGATTTTTCTAGTATCGGTTAGTTTTTGAGAAATTAAGAGCGTATACCGGACGTGGGACCCGCTAGTGCGGAAAGTTCGAAAAAATTCGGCCAATTAGGTTAAGTTTGGGATACTGGGATTAATTTACTAGGTGCTAAGAGATAATTAGAGATTGTTATATGGATGAGAGTGAAGAGACAAAAGGATAACCATGTATTAATTATAGTGACAAGTGTCACTTGGAGAATTGTTCTTACTTTTGACCACTATTCATTACTTTACCAAATAAATCAAAAATTGACTCAAAAATCACTCAAAATTTCCAAGCTTTGGCCGACTCTCTCTCTCAAGAAAACAAGGGAAGAAAACTCTCAATCTTTTGCTTCTAATCTTACCTAAATCTTGTGTTTCAACCGATTAAACTTGAAAGTTCTCCATAAAAATCCTTCTCTTAGTAGTTGTGAGGTGATTAGTGAAGTGGGTTGGAAGATTAAGGTGCTAAATTGCTCCCTTTCTTGGGTTGTTAAAGTGAGTAGCTAAGGGACCTCTAATTCTTCTTAATAATGCTTAATTAGTGACTTATATGAGACGAAGTGATGATTTTGGGTGTTGTTTCATGATTTTTGGTAGAAATTGGTGAAGTTTTATATTTATTTATGATTTTTTCTGTTTTCATATGATTAATATTGTGTGGCCATGGATGATGGTTGGGAATGGTTTAGAATGAAGCCTTAGTGCATAAATTGTGGCTAATTGCGGAAAATTTTCGCTTTGAAAGGAAATTTTGGAGTTAGGGTTTCAATGGAACCCGGTACTATTTCCTATAGTTAGAGGTCGAATTAGCCTTGGGTAAAAACATGAAAGTTGTAGGGAATGATATTTTATAGTTTTCTGCAAAATTTCAGGCCAATCGGAGTAACGTAGCTTATGAAAAGACCGAAATACCCTTGCTACTCTGTTTCTACCCGAACATGCTAATCAGCTTCTGTAATTGGTTGTTTTGACTAGGAATACTACTGATTTGGTTTTTGATGCCTCTTAAGAAATATATCTTGGACTCTTAGCTTTTGGATGGCTTTGGAATCACTTGAATTGGATTTTGGTAGCCTGAATTATGGTTGTTTAAGCAGAATGAGGTTCGCTAACTTGTTTATGCGGTTCTGGTTTGGTATATTGAGCTTTTGACTTAGTTCCACTATAAACTGGACTGAGTGGCCTTCTTCAATATTGTAGCCCTTTCTGTTAGCTTCGAAACGGTGTATCTTGTACATCCATCCGACAATCGTAGTGCCGGTTGTGTCCAATACGCTAAACGACGTCAAAACTATTTTGGGGTTTTAGAGCTTAACTTTCATTTCCGGACTTTTCCCTAGCTTGAATTGTACTTGTATTACTTGGAGCTTATTGAACGGCTATTGAATGAAATTATTTTGTGTGACTTTGGAAGTGATTGAGGAAAAAAAAAGGGGAAGCCTTGATGGCTGGAAAAGTAAGTAAATTTAGGGGAAGTGCTGTCCAATTTTCTAGGCCGTTTGGTTCCTTTAAGTTTGAATTGCCTTTTGGTAGAAATGAAGGGCTTTTGGGTTGTTTGAGCCTAGGTTTTCATGTTATCTTTTCGTTCTCAAAAATCATGTTTTACACCCTTGCATTAGTAATTATTTGGCGAGGCATACACTAGTAGTCAAGCCTCACATGTGCATTCTGTTTACTCGATTTTGGAAATAGAACCTTCAATTGTTTTACTTTGGTTCTTTTAGGGTTTCTTGGCGATTAAAGCCAGTTTGAAGTGAAAATTTTTGAAGTATCCGTACTTGAACCAGTGAGTGTACCACTCCCCTCACTTGTTGTTTAACTCGATTTCTGTACATGCAATCTCTGATATGAACGTCTGAACTATCTGTTTATTTTGTTTGAGACGAGGGTGTACTTTATCACACTCATTCT